TATTGCCTAAGTCTTATTTTACGCCATTCATTTCTTTCGAAAATAACAGCCATAAATCCAAAATATAATCTATTTACTGGCTCGAATTTGAATAAGAAATTTTTTCGTTTACTACTACTGAGAAAAAAACGATAATTTTATAGAACTTTCAGTTTTTAACATCCTGTATCTCTCGCTCAAACTAAGTCTTTGAGATCCTATGAACTTTTCTTCACAAAGTGACCTCAAAACTCAACTCCTGGACAGTACTTAAGAAACACTCTGCACAGAAGCTTATAGATATGCAAGATCTCATAATAAATTCACGCTTGAACTTTAAAGATTTGATGATAAATGTCCAGACGCGCGTCATCGCTGATCTATCTATAAATCTGACTACAGTCGTGCGATTTTTCAAAAGAACGTCGGTTTTAGTTTTCGATGCGTTGGTAACCGCGGCCGAGGATAAATTGCAACTTTAATAATGCAAAAGCCTTGAACCGTGCACGGCGCTTTGTCAATGTTTCTCCGAGCGACGCTTTTATCGCGACACGATGAAGAATTGCGTAGAATCACGAAGGAGATAAGCGTTCTCTCCTTCGTCGTGCGGGATGTGCAGGAGCGTTCTCACACGTTCTCCGATAAAGCGAGCGAACAAGCGGACGGCGAATGACGATACGTCAGGGGACGCGCGCGGGTTTAAACCGGATTGTTGACTGACAATGAGCACGAAAATAGTAGAAGCGGCTGAGTAAACGGATTTCGACGATACCGCGGTGAATTGGAATTCTTTAAGGCCACGTCCCGGAAGTCGCGTCATCCGTTACACGATCCGCTTCCGGCAGCAGACACTGCACCGTTCGCGCAAACAGATTCTTAGTCTAAACACTTTTAGAAAGTCGAGACTGATGTCATGTCCGAGTGTTACGCGTTACCAATCTACAAAAAGGAGTCTTTTTTGTCACATGGATCAAATTATGTGATCTACAGAAATTAGTGATTTCCTGCTATTTGACTTGTGGTATGAAAAAAATATAGAAATATAGAATGTCTTTTAAAAATATAGAATGTCGTATCAGTTTTTATCATATCTTGTACGTAGTTGGAGACAAATCACATAAAAGAAGAAATATCATTTATCTTAGTGAATTTTTATAGATAAATATCTTGCTTAAATAAAAAAATGTTTTATGGAAGATACATAACATTGATAGTACTTCTATATTCTACGCATCAAAACAGGTAAGAAACACATCAGAAATTTCATGTAACAAATTACATGTTGACTAGCATAACTTTTCACAATTGGGTCATATCAAATTACTCCATTGTCTCATAAAAGTTGTCTTGTATCATCGACATAAGAATATCTGGACGGAGCATTTGCTGTTAATTTAGGCATTAAGGGTGTACACTAATTTAAGGAGTAAGTTACGATGAAGCAAACCGAAGAGCATATTTTTCAGAACTTTCAAACTTACTAGAAGCCAGAGAAATATTCGAAATACTAAAACTTTTTTCTAATCACTAATTAGTCCTTCCCCTTTGTAGAATGTTCCGCTCAAATATTTTTACGTCGTATCGTATATAACTTACGGTATTGTATGCATTTTATGTCACGCAAATGTTGAAGTATTTCTTTTAAGTTTTAACTTTTCTCTTAACATAGATATCGAAGGTATATGATGAATGTAAAAATAAAAAAGATCTGTTCGGTTGTGTGTTAAGGTTACTATAAAAAGTTGTTACTTTAACAAATGCTTCGATATCATATTAGGGAGATAATAAATTAACGCTGTATAATTTTGTTACGATGTGTGTAAGTAGCAATCAACGTATTTTACGACCAGATGTAAACAGGAAGGCAGATAACGCTGTGGAAGCGTTCCTTCACGCGGTATGAAGAAGGAATGAGATAAGTAGCTTGGAGAGGATGGAGCACGTCTGCCTTTATTTACTCTTATAACATAATCGACAGTCAATTGAAACGAGCATTCCCAAGTTGAAATTTTGATTCATTTGATAACTTAACAAGAAATAACATTTAAAATTAACAGTTCAGATCGGTTTGTCAAAATTCAGTCCTTTAAAATCGAGAATATTCTGTGTAAAAATTTATTTGACACACATATGTGTGAAAATATATCCGCGTCCTTACATACTGCATCTTCCGTCCTACTTTCCTAATTCAGCATCTTGTTTCTAATTGTTTTACGGTTTCGGACACTCACTGGCACTCAAGTTTTGTACTGGAGTAACGCGATTGGCCAACAAAAAACTTATTCAATAGTTGACGAAATATCTTCGTCATCCAACTAGAATCGTAAACAACGCACCGGTATATATACTTTGCGTCGCGGTACGTCGCTCGTCGGCCCGAGACGCAATGACTTGGTCAAGGACAGGTAAACGACGTACAAGAATACCAAAACAATTGATACCTTCGAAGAAAACAAAGTTGATGGACAAGTATTATACCGAAAGAAAAGATGAAGAAAAACTTAAAACGTGAGATAATTTTCTGAAATTTGTACGTCGAGACAATCTCTCAAAGTATAACTTCGCCGAAAAAATGAAAGCATATAATTTTCCTGAAGAATCAATACCAAAATGCGAGTACTATGTTTTCCGATTATTATTATATTATGTTACTTTTTACATTTAGTTATATTATGTTAATTTTTACATTTAGAATACCCAGATAACAGAGAATTAAAAAATAATTCAGTCGTCACCAATTTTGAGTTCATTATTAGATGCAAAAATAATTCACTGAACTGAACTCTGAAGAATTCTTTTTGCATCTGAAAATAAATCTGAGAATTAGTGACATACGACTGAATTCTTTTTGAATTTTTTTTAATTCTCTGTGCTATCACACATATACATATACAGGATGTCCCAGAACGCGAGAAGCTCTCGCGGAGGCATAGTACGGATGAACATAAAAGTCCCATACCATTTTCGCAATAATCATCGAGGTATTAATCAAAGAAGATTTGTGAATGATCACGCGAGATAGTGTAATGAGCTGTAGTGACGACATCTGCCGTCGTGTGATTCTACATTAGATCAAATTGAACAAAAAGTTCTTTATTTTTCTCTTAATAACTTTGCAGATTTTTGGTATCCCGCGTAAAATTTACTTCGCTTTAAAAATCTCATTATTTCAGCATCAACGATCTTTCCTTAAAGATCTTTACGATAGCGAACGACAGCTCTCCGAAGAAACGTCCCGATCGCTGAACATGAAATTGTAAAAAGAGCGCGGCCTTATTCAACGAAGTAGATGACGAAGGATTAAGTCGTTCGCGCGGTTAAGTGCTCCATGGTCGATTCGCCGTGTGGTGAAACGCACGTGGCAATCGGTTCGCCCTCGAGGTAATCTACCGATATATTTTTCAAGCTAACGACCGTGTGCTCTCTCACCTCCTCCCTCTCTAACCGCTCCTCTTTTTCCCCTCCTACCGTTCCCACGTCCTTCTCAGGCGGCTTACTTATACACGGTGTTGTGTGCGCCTTTGTCGCGAGCGTTGTCGCCGCCGCCTCGTGCTCGTCCTGGCGAGATCGATTTGTTTGTCGGGTCGACGCGGAACACGAAAATCCGGAAAAAGCGGATTTACTACGAGGCGCGTAGAAAACGACGAATGAATGCACGAATGAACGGATGAATAAATGAATGCACCGGATGTTCCCGACAGTAGTAGATCGTTTGCTACCCGACTTCCGGGGCATGTTTTGCTTTACCTGCTCGCCAGGAGCCTGTTCTGCGTCTAATACAGCACAGCACTTTTCGACGCAGAATTTCGACGCGGGGAGAAAGGAGCAAAAAGGTCGATGCAGCTGCTTCCCTCCTGCCATTGACCGGTTTCCGTTCGGCCGGGCGCCATGCCCGGACACTCAACCCCTCGATTTCTTTTCTCTCCCTTTCGCCTTCTCTCTCCCCTCTTATCGCTCTCTCTCCCTTTATCTTGCGACGAAAGGTGCGCGCAGCTTCCAACTGAACTCGTCAAAGAGTTGTACATGATATTGTTGAAATATGTCCGTGTGAAATAGGAAGCATTCTATGGATCTGAGAAAGCTTCATGTGTGCGAAGTTATCCTCGTACTTTTCGAATTCTATATTTTTCTTAATTGTCCTATATCATGTTACGTTTATGTCGTATTGTGGCGCGAACCGCAAGTCAGTAACTAAAAGCGTACACAAGATAATTAAAAAAGAAAACAAATTTTTATTAGGCCCGTACTTTTCGAATTTTTAGTTCTCTTTAGTTGTGCTGTATTGTGCTAATTTATATTGCAAATACAAGATCAATAACTTCAATAACAAAAGAAAAATTAAATAAAAACAAAATTATAACCTTCTTTCGATATTTGAAATTTTAACACTTGCAACAGATTATGCTAAATTGTGCTAGCATTGTGTAAAAAAAAGTATTTATTAAGGATAATAACAAAAAAGTTATAATAAAACTATTTTGTACGAAATTTCGTACAAAAGTATTCTCAATTTCCTTACATTCTGTTATTTGGGGATCACAAAACTATAAATCTGAGTTGTATCAGTCTAACACAATTAAGTGATTAAACCAACTTATCTGTAAGTGACGTTCAATCCAAATTGTATGAGCAGCCTCTTCCGAAAAGATCAGATGTAGTACCCTCTACCTTATGCCGATGTCGCCACAACTTTCAAGTACAAAGAGAGAAAAGAAAAGACCCGCGCGCATTCGCGTCGCTCTCCTGTCGCACTCATTTCTTCAAAGTGAAGCCGTAACAGTTAGAAAGGTTGAAAAAACAAGGTTTCAACTATGGGAACGTCCCGTGGGTGGGACTGATCTCTTCGGAAGAGGCTGTGTAAACAATTTGGATTGAACGTCACATACAGGTAAGTCTGTTCAATCACTTAATTGTATTTCGCGCCTCTCCCTCGAGATCAAATGTTGCTGTTTAAAGTTATTATTATTACAGCGGGTAATAGCAAAAGAAAAAGGGGGAAAAAGAGAGGGAAGTGAAAATCATTTAGCATCATAAAATCTTTAATAGTGAAGATATATAACGTAATCGAAAAAATTTAAAGGAACATGGATAGAAACAACTATCGAGGAAAAAACTAAACTTTAAGTACAATTCGTATCCAGTATGGTTAACGCAAAATACGTTTTGTCTCTAATAACCCTTAGTGGCTTATGTGAAAAACGGCACCACATGTAGCCCTACATGGATCTTTCGAGTCCCTTTTATCATATCTTTAAAGTGGTTCGAAAAATCTATAAAAATTCATAAAAATCTGTAAAAACGGATATACTTTGAAGTTTCTAGAAAAAATACTGTACTTCATTGTACAACAAACTAAAATATAGTATGTTAGCAAAATACAGAAAAATATAGTATATAGTATAATATAGTAAAATATAGTATATTAATAAAACTTAATGAACGAAATTTCTATGAATATAAACCGTCCGGACTCGAAATATCCATGTCAAGGCCACTTAATATTACGCTTATAAAATTGTTCAAACGTGGATCCTGACTTCCAACGAGCGAACTGTAAAATAGTATTAATCCTAACCTGGCCTTCCATATTCGCATTGAAGCTTGAAACGTCAATGGTGCTGTCATATAGCATCTTCTTAACCAATATACCTAACATTTGAGGAGTTACGACTTTATGCGGAGGTTTGAAAGAGACTAATAATTTTTCTTCTGATCCACGGACTGCAAGTGACCTTTTTAAATAATATTTTAAGGTAGAAGCGATACACACCGTCTCCTCCTTATAAAAAGGGATAATTATATTTGATTGTACACCAGACTTTTCTTGACTGTCTCGAATCTTAATTTTTACATGATTTTCTTCACAAGTAATATTTTTATAATTAATGAACATTAGATCCTTCATGCGGTTAAAGTCTGTGATCAAAATGACGAGAGTCACTAATTTATACGATAATTGTTCTAAAGAAAGATTTTCGGTCGAACCCCATCTACGGAAAAGAGATAGAACTTTTTCTGGATCCCAACTCTTGTCTTGCGGGAAATCTTGTACACATGGAGACGAGTGTTTTGAGCTCTCCGTTGCGGATGGGATGGATTTCCGTGATTTTATTTTTCTACTGCAGACTTCTCGGCGCTCTGCCGCTTTTAGTTTTTCTTTCAGATCTTGTCCAAAAAGCCACTCATCAGGAACCGTTGAGGCAAAAGTGTCGCGCCAAGACGTATTAATATTTTTCATAATAAGATCTCTGCGAATGGAGGATTCGTCACGTTGTAAGTCGGAAATAAGTCCAATGACTCCTCTCAACGTTTCAATCATGGATGACTTTTCATTCACATTTAACTTCAATATAGTTGACAGAAGACTGACCAGACCTGCAATTACAGCCGTAATACAGGTCTGTTTTCTCGCTATAGAAGAATCTTTTTCTGTAACTTCTTCTTGGAGATCATCTTTGACTTCTAAGTTAAGCTTGGGTGGGTCTATAATCAAACAATTTTTTGGCGGATGAAATTTCTGGATTAATTGTTGTTTTTCCTCTGCCAAAAGGCCCTCTTTGAGTATCCTATCAATGTACGTAACGACATCTTTATGAATTGGCTGTGCAAGAGTACGTTTTAGGGGAATGCGTTGGCTAAAATATCGAAGATCATTTTCATCCAAGTCCCCTTCTTCAGGAGCAGAAGACGTTGATGCGAGCATATTTGTCTGATCAGTCAGTGAAGCCGCTTTTTTGGTGCCACTATTAGCGCAGACTATTATCGGTAGCGCAGACATTTCTCGATCAACGGAGGTAGCTTTTTCTGGCAAGGACGGTGACATCTCAGATTTAACACTACTTCCAGATGCTTCAGCATATACAATAACATTTGCAGAATAAAGGGAGTGGCAATTCGCGTCTGTTGAGGCGTCTGTTGAGGCGTCTAAGGCGGACAGCGATAAATCTGAAGAACGATCTAATGAAGGAGGACCTGGGAATAACATAGTAATCGTAAGAAACTTGGAAGAGAAAATTCGGCGGATAAACTTCCGAAAAGGTCTTATCTCCAATTTTTATGAAACTTGGTAAAAATGTTCCAAAGAGTTCCAAAACTATGTATACAGAAGAACTTTTCGAAAACAAGATTTAAGTCATATATTGATTGTACACAGAAGAACTTTTCGGAAACAAGATTTAAGTCATATATTGATTGTTAAAGATATTATATTTAAAGTTAGTCCCGTTCTGTCCTGTAGAATATTTTGGTTTCTCCATAATTTTTATATTTCATAATATATTATATAATTATTTTTAGTAAAACTGCAATTTAGAGGAGTCAGTTTCAATTGCCTTGATCTTAATATATGTTATAGAGGTCATCCTCCTGAATAACAAACAAGAAATCTTAAAGCTCGTCTACAATAGTAAGTCGTAAAAATTGACCAATCAAGAGGCCTGTTTTTTATAGCTGCACTGCTGAACTAGTGAATAAGAGTGAGAAAACTAAATATTTGTTTCACTTCAATATATTACACCAGTTCAATATATTACACCAGTTCAGCAATGCAGCTACAAAGAACAGACCTATAGTTGGGCACAAGAAGAATAATCAACCGTGATTGATCAATCTCTACGACTTATTCTTTACGACTTTACGACTTCTATTGTAGACGAACCTTAACTCTAAACTGCAGTTTTACTAAAAATAATTATATAATGTATTATGAAGTACAAAAATTATGGAGAAAAGGAAATATTCTATAAAACAGAACGTGACAAACTTTAAATATAATACGTTTAACAATCAATATATGACTTAAATGTTGTTTCCGACAAAAGTTCTTCTGCGTACGTACATTTGGGATCGTTTGAAACATTTTTACTACATTTCATAAAAATCGGAGATGAGACCTTTTTAGAAGTTCAGCCTTGTTGCTGAATTCTAGCAGAGAATTCAATTATCTCACGCGTGGGATCTGGCAGAGATGCCAACATTAGCTTGCACGCAGATAACTTCTCACTCGATTGATAATCGAACGGAAAGGAAAAATTATTTGAGATGTCGGTGAATATATGGCAAAGATCTGACCATCATCTGAGACAATGTATTGGTAAATATTCAGGATAGCTGTGGGGAACTAGTGGAGGATCCCACAGTGATATTGCTTTTTTCATGTGGCAAAGATTTTTCATTAATATGCTTGGATCTGATAAGAATTCGAATAGTCGCGTGTTCTCGATGGTGTGTATAGAATTATTCCATCCTAACCTAAAAAACTATTAGATCTAAAAAACTACTTACGACAAGATGCAACAGAATCTCGCCTCTTCTTCTCTTTCTCCATTTCTCGCTTCATTTTTTTTATATTCTCCTCTAATTTTTTTATTTTTTGCTCTTTTTCCCAAAGAGATCTTTTTCCCATTGTGATAGAAAAAAATAATGTGGATAATTCGACACAACGTAGAATAGCGTGTTCGATTGAATATGGAGTAATCGACTCGGGGTTATTAAACTCAAGTTCATTGGTCGAACATTTTCTTATAAATTTTGTGATTGGCTAGTGAAGTCTTGTGACACCATTAATCGCTCTCGGAGTAATTAATCGAGAATGAGTCAAACACGTTATAAGTGAGACAGGAGAGCTGCGTGGGTGCTTTCTTATCTCTTTTGAAGTTGTGGCGACATCGATATAAGATAGAGGGTACTACATCTAATTTCAAGGAAGAGGCGCGAAATACAATCATAGATTTCACCAGCAGAACGATACAAAGAGTATTTTATTTTTTAGAGCGGCCATTCCCAATTATATTTTAAGTTCAAAAAACAATTTTTTTGTCATCCGATGAAAACAAAGTCGTATATTTGAGCGTTCTGTAATTCCGTAAACAAAGGCATTTGTATAAATTCGGTCATAAATGCTCATACGTTTGTACATATTTCGAGAAAATATCCAGGTCATTGTTTCTCATTTTCCTTTGCCCAACTTGTAGTATATAAGAAATAGAAATAGAAATATTCCAATTCACACTATGACAGTTGAGAAATCGGATATTTCTCTAAGGTGACTTCTTTCGTTTAACACAAGCTCACACGCGTCCGTGGCGCAAATGAGTGCCAATGTCACTGATGCAATCCGCACAGATCTGCACATATAGACATAAGTCATAATATTTGTTGCAATCGTCGATAGGGAGAGAGACGTTCATTATCTTGCGCAGAAATTCCGCACTAATTCCTCGGCGTGACTTGTACGTGCGGGGGAGGAGTTGTGTGGCTAATTGCGTCGAGAAACCGTAATCAGGCGCACGGTAATTAGACAAAACGTCGTATCGTTCGTTTCCCCCACGTCGTTCGCGCCACGACGAGTTACGAACGCTGACAAAACGCCGATTACACAAGAGTGTGCAACAATTCCCTCGCCTTGGAAGGAACGCACGCGAGTGAGTAGGGCGAGTCTACGAGTTCTCACGGTGCACTCGTGAGCGCGAACGCGCAGCTGAAATCCAATCGCCCCTTAATTCGATAAATTTCGCCGGCGCCACGCGAGCTGAAGAGATGAAGTAACATCTTGGTACACAATCGCGAGCGTGTAAATACATGCGGTGGGGCCATGTATGCCCTCACGATTCCCCGCCGACCGCGGATTTGGCAATCGCTGAGGCGGTTTATACGCTACCTCAGAAGGATTTAGCAACCAGAACGCAACGAGAGATCGAAGGACCACCGCCCGCTGCGACGCATCGAATTCTATGCGAATTTACCTGCGAAGTTATGACGAGCAGGTTGCTCCTTCGTGAACAAGGTAAACACATTCCTCGGTGGCCTTTGTGACAATACAGTCGACTTTGTGGCAATAGTAATGTCTTTCGAGACAGAAAAAGTAGTCTTCACACGGAAAAAAAGGTTTGGTTGAATTAACTAAATATCTGGTCGAATATCAACGATCCAGAAATTCCGATTGAAGTAATCCGAATTCTGCTTAAGTTAACAAGATTTTTGGTTGACTTAAACAGAATTTGGGTTACTTCAATCGGAATTTCTGGATCGTTTATATTCGACCAAATATTTGGTTAATTCAATCAAACCTTTTTTTCCGTGCAGTTAACCCTTATAGAAATATCATACTAAGAATCATTGATAATTACTTATTATCCAGTATTTTTAATACTGAAAATAAGTAATTATCAATGATTCTTAGTATGATATTTCTATAAGGGAAGTTGATTTCGAGGACTAAATTTTGTTTACACTTTCAACACTTTGAAGAGGAGCTACGAGAAATAAAATTATGTGATACTTGTAACAAATCACTTTTCTGAAAGGCATTTGTCTATTTCGAAAGAGTATTTATTCGAGTAATTATCCGTCCCCCCTTCTCCATGATTCATCCTGTATATCTCAAGCGAGCCTCTGGACTTAACACAGCTTCTTTGCAGCTCTTATCGGCCTTGGCATATAAAAGTTCTTTCGGTATAAAAATAATGTTGATTAATTGCGGCCTTTTTTTAATACTGACTTTTTAATTACATTCGTTTAAGCAGGAGATCTCATATCTGCCAGCCACCCAAATGCTTCCCGATTTTTCATTAGAAAAATTTTTGTATCTACATTGTAACTACAACAGCTGGTTTTTTCTTATTTTTTCTTAGGCGTCGATGACTGCGTTCAGATTATTTATAGTTAAAACAATTCACCGACGATTTTCCATGCTCTCTCGTCTCTTGATCGAAGGCTACGATTATTTGGGTCGCGGACACCAGTGAATTAACTGCTCGATCCTTCCGCTCTTGGTTGGTCCCCCTGACCTTCTCGCGGCCTTTCTTCCTTCCCTCTCTCACCTCCTCTAACACACACACACACATATTCTCTCTCTCTCTTTCTTTTTCCCTCTCCTCTCTACTTTTGTCACTTGTTAGCTTTGTTACTATCGTCATCGCCGCTGCTATATATATTCTATTGCAATAGTACATGTAACATTGCGTTATAATCTCTGTCGTAAAGGAAATAATGAAACCAGACAAACTAAAGAAAATCCATCTCTGTAAAATTAATAATAATTGATTGAGTAATAACTAGTTAATCGATTAAGAAAGTTATGTTAAAAAATCAACTTTTTATTTAACTTAGTAAATTTTAAATCAGTCATGTTTTAATTTAAACTAATTATTTTTTAAGACGCATTAAATTTAACTTATTAACTTTTTTGCATATAGATTAAAATAATTCATTAATATTAAAATAATTGCAGGCTAATTATAATACGAAAGAAATATTCTTTTATAATTGTAAAAGCAAAATGAACAATTAGTTTATTTTTATATTTAAATACAATTACATATTCATACAACATTTATAGTTGTGTCATAATGTATTATGAATATATAACAGCATTTTTTATAAAATGCACTAATATTCGTATAAAATGCATTAATATTCGTAAAGAATATTCTTGTGATAAACTTCCCAGATAACATGCATGTCTAAAAGATGTCGAAAAGATATCTAAAAGACATGTTATGCAACAAAATGTTGCATAAGATGTCTTTTAGATATCTTTTCGACATCTTTTAGACAGGCATGTTATCTGGGTTATTGGCTCGTATATGCTCGTATATGTTTTCAGCCCCTGCTGATGTTTGCCCGTCTTAATTAGTTTTGATCTGATTGATATGCGTTTTTATTCTTTTCTATCTTATTTTTTAGTTCAGTTTTACAACAGAGACAATATAAATAACAATATAAATAACATCTATACTGCCACCTCGTCTTCTGTTTGCAAATTTTGTCTTTTATGTAAATACAATTTTTATTTATTTTTTTTCTCTCTTTCATCTATCTTTTACACATTATTTATGACAGTTACACTCATTAAAGTTCTTATTATTAATCCTTAAAATTAGGAACTTAGATATTGTATTTTGGAATTTTTAGACTACCGTCTAGTTTATGTATACGACAGTAATATTCTCTTGACGTTTACTCATTTTCTTAAATAATAACATGTGCATAAAGAGCTGAAATTTTTAAATTTTTAATATTGTTAAATTGAAGATCAAATTAGCATATGTATCGTGGATTATCCAGAGTTTCGCGTCACGCTTAAACGTTTCTCATTTTTACTAGCATTTCAGATTTTCCGACGAACACAGAAATGTCCGACGACACCGTCGACGAGAGAAACGACACGAAAACGGATCCGGGCGCTAGCAAGCACGGGAACTTCATGAATTATTACCAATTCCATCCTGCGGAAGAGCGCGTGCGGCAACTTCCGCATGGCGTGTGGCGGGTCGCTCATCCGGCCCGGAAATACGCGGGTCTAGACGTCGGCTGCAACGCCGGGGTAAGAGCGGCAGCTGTCAGGGACGCGACCGAAATGGGATGACTCGGTCGTGATCCGAAGTTACAAACGGCGCGTCTAATTTTGGCCAAGTTATCCCTTTTCAGGTATCGCTCGCGCCGCCATCCACTTCCGGCCGGTGTCCTTTGTTCTCATTGGAAATTTCGTGTGCATGTCTACTTGTTCCTCTCCATCCCTCCTTTATCACTTCGTCTTTCTCTATTGAGATAATGTATTTTCCTAATTACTACTGAAACTGTCCCGTAACTGTCGCGCTTCCACTTAATTAAGTGAAGAATATATACGAGGAATCCAAAATAGAGAGAACGTATTATATGAACGAGCGTGACGTCAATTAATTCGATTGTATTTAAAATTTAAATTAGATGCAGATAAAATATGATAACTTGAGTCGTCGATTTATAAACGATTCGTTTTGCATGCTTAGTTTTATTGAAGCTTAACCAATCAATAACTTATTTATGGAAGTTTTTTTAATTATATGAAGAAATTACTTGATTAATACATATATATATATATATATGTGTGTGTGTGTGTGTGTGTGTGTGTGTGTGTGTGCGTGCGTGCGTGCGCGCGCGCGCGCGTGTGTGTGTGTGTAGAATAAATAAATATATATATATATATATGCAATACACGCGCATGTATAATTGGTTTAATCACGTGCACGATGTATTTTTGTAGGATCTCACATACGTTCTGTACGATTTCCTCGAGAAGGCTATGTCTCAAGATCAGCCCGAGATCTCTTTACTCGGCATGGATCTGGACTCAATTCTGATCGAGAGAGCGCGCGAGCGAAATTCGCAGCCGGATCGCATGGCCTTCGAGTGTTTGGACTTTTTGTCCGAAGACTGTGGCGAGACGCTGACGAGTTATTTGTACCGACTTGGTAAGAGGCGATTCGACGTAGTATTCTGCTTCTCGATCACCATGTGGATTCACCTGAATCACGGTGACGACGGCTTGGAGAAATTTTTGCAGAGAGCTTGCGCGTTCGCAGAAATGATCGTCATTGAGCCACAACCCTGGAGGTGTTACAGGAACGCGTCGAGAAGGTTAAGAAGAGCCAAGTCAGAGGACTTTCCATTGTTGAAAGGACTCAAGTACACCGGCGATCCGGCGAAGCACATAGAGAATATAGTAATGAGACTCTGCGACTTTCGCAAAGTTGCCATTACCGAGAGCAATGAATGGGGACGTAAACTTTTGATCTATGAGAGAAAACAATAAAACTAAACTAAGAAATAAATAGAAATAAGTAGAAATATAAAAAAATGAATGAATATTACATAATGAGTAGTAATGAGTACAATAAGTTACAAGAAGAAATCGATTTTAATAGATGCACATCGGAATACATATGTATAGGCGTAACTGAACAATTTTTCTTCTTTTTCATTAATAAGACATTAGTATTATGCATTTTAAAATATATACCTTGCTATGTATCTTATCTAAATTACTCAACTCCCATAGGAAATTTTTCAATGATATTTTACGAAACGACTATTTTATTTTTAGTAATTTTTTCGATAATATTTTGTGAAACGACTACTTTTTGTCGTTATGGAAATATGTGATTTTATTAAATAAATTCTAATCATTATTTCTTGTCTCATTTAATACTTAAGGGAAGATACTGAAGTCGAGGACGAATACGAATAATGTCGATAAGGCAGAGACGTCACTAATACAATCGCGCTATCCTTTTCGTATTTTTTGCACGTACAGATCTTACGTAAATGTGTTGCTTTATTTTACCATATTCAGTGGAAAAAAACCTCATGTGTCTTTCCTCATCTGTCAGAAATCTTTTTACAAACTTCTCCGATATTCTTAAGCTTCTGAATTCTGGATGCTGGATGCTAAGGTACAGCAACGTTTTTCAAAATTTTTCTGTTTGGAGCATCCACACTTTCGGCATATACAACCTGCGGAACTCTTTTAGATTAAGTAAATATTAGTTATATATATATATATATATATATATATATATATATATATATATATAAAACTGACAGCTTGACATTTTATATTAAATTTTTTTTCGTTTTTATCACATATTAAATAATGCTCCTATTTATTTTTGCATGTACTTTTATTGCGTAAAAGCATTTATAATTCTGTACAACCAATGCAACGTAAACTTTGAAGTAAAATGTCAGTATTCTGACGGTAAAGTTTTCAATTTCTGCATCTCCTTAAGGATGAAAAACGATATTTCTGTAATATTGCCGATATTTCTGTAATATTGCACAATTATTAAATACAATCTATATTTCATAATATTTTATATAAAAAGTATAAAAAAAAAGTTATCATTCTGAGTTATGAAAGAAACATTCGTGAAATTTCCACGACGATAAAGTAGAATTACCAACCGCACCAACTTTAAATTTATTCTTATTTGGTTTAACATTTGTTATGTTTTCCGCATGTGAAATTTATATTATATTTGAAACTCGAGGCACAACAAAAGAAAGAAAGCAAGTTATTTGATGATATATCGAAAGTATATCAAAGCAGAGCATACCGATTGTACGATCACAAAAGGATCACGAAAGCGACGTAAGATGACAGTAGTGTACAAAAGTTTTCGCTCATGTGTCGAAATTAGGTATAACATCAAATACACAACATGAATTCCGCAAGCAAGGTAAATCAATAAAAAACGTATGTTATAACAGTTTCAATTAGTTTGTCATTACATGTTCTACTATCTAGTAGCATACGCAATCCTTTCATAATATGGCCACTTTAAAAAGATATCACTTCCAGATAGACATATAAGATAATTTGATATTTTTTATATATTTATGTATATTCTGCAATCGTGATAAGAGAAATACTTAAATAATTATGTCAAATTTATCTTTCATGCGATATTTAAGTGACAGTCACAATTTACACGTCTAGTAAAAAAAATAATTGATGCGAATAAGGTTATGTCTTTGGATAAGGTTATGTCAAATTGATAGTAACTGGTTTTTTGAATTTAATTGATTGAGAAGTTATAAATCTGATCTTCTTTCTTAGATTATATTTTTAATTATATAATCATATTATACAATATCATAAGGATATCATATAATGATATCCTTATATAATATTGTATCATGTACAATATGATTAAAGATAAATATCTCAAACAAAATATTTACAAGCATATCTCCAGAAGAGAATTTTTTCTTATTTTGAGGTTCTAAATTAATATTTTAAGTTAAAGCATTTAATTTCGAAATATCTTGTATATTATATGTATATAATTCTCTTATGAAACTAACAAACCATTATTTAATTTTAGGTGGGTGAAATTTTCACAGCAGCTGGTGCAGCCTTCAGTAAACTAGGCGAGCTCACAATGCAACTACACCCAGTTACAGACTCTCCAGCAGGGTAATTTAAATATGAAATAATATCATGGTCTATAAGAATGTAATCCCAAATAGCGCACAGGATGTCTGAGATCATTCTGAGATTTTTAAAACATACTGAAATATTCTTCAGGCATTTTAAACTTCAGAATGTTTTATGAAGTTCAGAATGTTCAGAATGATTCTGTTATATCTTATGTTATTTAGGAATATTGATTGTACAAACTCTAATATCTTACTGATGTCCATGACTTATGAATAAATTCATGTGATCGAGAAAGAGAATTGAGGTAAAACATTCAGTTCTATTTTTGTTTTTGGCACTTCTGATTCTATTAAATATTAAAGCATATAGAGATTTAATAAATAAGTAGTAATAATAATAAATATATAATGAATAAGTTCTCATATACTTTAATATTTGATAAAATCCGCGCAAGGGTGGCGTGAACAGAGCGAATGCCGACTACTGGACGCTTCAAAACCTACATGTAAAATATTCGCGATATTATCATGACTGTCGTGGTGGTATTTGTAATACCATCACTGCAAGCTTTACGCTACTTTCGTAATTCCCCGTCCTTCCTTGATGCGTAGTAAATGGACTGACGACGAAATTGAGATGCTCCGTCACTCGGTGAAGACCTTCAGCGAAGACTTGAACAAAATAAGCGAGCACATCAAGAGTCGGACGGTGTAAGTTTCAAAGGCAAGCCATCGAAACAACGGTCATTCCTCAATTTCTGCGTCAGCCTGAGTCTGACCGCGATTGTACCGTTCCTACTGTTTGCAGTTCGCAGATCCGAACTACCCTGAAGAAAAAAGCATTTGAAGAAGCTGGAGTACCTATCAGGCAGCAGATAATTCCTCCGACGGGGCAATCACTAGTTCAGCAGCAGCAACTGTCAAAACAGCAAACGGTAAATCAGACACTGATAGGAAAATCGGCGGACGTCACACTAAACATGCTGAACGCATCCGAGACTGAGGTAGACGTTGAAGGACTTCAGGATGATTGTCCAGTAAAGCTAGAATTTGAAGGAGCTACCGAGGAAGTCACTTCATAACTAACTTGAGTCGGTGATTCATCCATCATTATCATCATCATCTTCATTTGTCTTTTGCAATTTATTCTGTTATTAATTAAGCTAAGTTATAGATATATTAATTGTACAAGATTAGTAAGTTACCTTTCATAATAAATATATAAAAAATATATTTCTTTCCGTCTCGTTATTGTTGGAATCTCGATTTTGAGCAAAGTCATGAAAAGGCCTGAAAATTTATTCAGGCATTCGAGAGGTACATTCGAGATCATAACATCAAATTATGTTTGCAAGTTCTTGACGTGACATTGATTATTATTAAATGAGGTATTTTTCTGACATCATGACATGAATGATATCTGTGACCTAAGCCACATATGAGCCTGCAGTGGTGTATATTCCTGTCCTTAGGTTTTGAGAACAACATAAGCTCAGAATGAATATATTTTGCTATCTGGGAAATATCATTTCTATTTGCAAGTTTATTTCATTTTTTTTTATTATGGTGATTTTGTGCATCACATTTTTTTAACCATACCAGGCATATGGCAGAAGTATACATGACAATCTGCAGTTTGTAAGTAGAATGGGGGAAATATGATTCTTTTAACTTCTTTGGTCCATATTTTAGTTCGCACACATCCAAGGTACAGATCATGGTAGTGCTGAAACTCATTCATTTTGTAAAAGGAGAATCTGTAATCGGGATATGGCTTTAAGGAACAAGCCTTTATATTAATATTTAGATAAAACTGTAACTTTTTTTTATATAAACACGTTTAAAAGATTTAAAAATAAAAAAAAAACAATTTATCATAATAAACGGTGATTTGTTATTGCTTTCCAACTCTCTTTCCTTCCAACAATGATGCATTATTTTTCTCTCACTACTGGATCTTTTGGAAATGTGAACATAACGAATACTTTTCCATAACTTATCACAACTTGGCTGCACAATGCAGCATATTAATTTTTTTCTACAAATAGAAATTTTAAGCTTTTTATCCTCCTCTTTCATTTTTGTAATATATTCTTACAATGTATATGCTAAAGCAAGACCATTGATATTGACATTATTTGAACATTCAAGCAATTAAATGTAACACATGTAAATATTTACCAAAGGAAAAGACACAACAACAAGATATGACAACTTTTCCATCAGTCTATTATTTTCTTACCTAATAATTTTTCTGTCACTTTCATTCTAACCTTTTCTCTAAGGTATGAATTTCTATCGTATCCTCAGCCGATCAGCGCATGCTCGGTCACGTGATGAATTGACGATTTTTATTAAAGGCTTTCTAGACACGACTGGCTGCGACTAGACAACAATAATGACAGATACCAGCTTCTGTTGAAGGCGTCGGTCGGAGCAATAGTCGATCGGTGTCGTTTATCGATCGCAGTCGCTGATCTTGTAGTCGTGACGAACGTGGGATTGTGCAATGTGAAACGAAAAGAACGTCTATCTCGTTGCAACGTAAGCCACGTTTTCTAAATTTGATTCGTTGACGCAAAAATTGTTCACGATATTCATCGGACAACAAGTGGCAGGCCACAACGATGGAGGGAGGAACAATGGAAAACTCAGACACATTGGACAGATCGGAGGACGAGATAGCATTGCAAGGATTTTGTAGTCCCAAACGGCCGCCCTACCGATTTTTGGGACTGGCACTAATGTGTCTTCTTGGATTCGGTACGAATCGGCACATGCATATTTGTTTATATGTCATTTTGTCTATTTTTTGTTCTAAAACTTAAAAAAAATGAACCAGTTGAATAACATATCAGTTGTCTATGTTTGTTTCCTTATGTATATGAGTCACTTGTGTGTCACATATGTGTGAGAAAGAAATTATGCATCAGCCATTATTGTCTTGCTATTAATCATAGAGAAAAATCTAACATTGCTTAGATAACGCGTATTATGAATGCTCTTTGTGTAGTCTATCATGCAGTTTTGCAGTTAGTAATGTTGCCATATACAAATGTTATGAGAACAGATGACTCACAACAAAAATATGCATACATGCATTATCTTCATTCAACTGTGAACTTTGTGTCTTTCAGCAGACAATACATCAATTTGTCTAATTGGAGCAGCTCTATAATATTGGAAAATATATTTTTGTTTGTCAATCATGAATTTTCTCTCCAAGTATGAGCCTGTAAAAGTGAAAAATCCAACTTTGAGAATATATGAAATTGGTTACTTTTCATGAGTTCACATTGGAGGAAAAGATTGTTTTTATTTTCACGATTGTCTTTATCTTATTATCAAATTATTTATTTTTCTTAATATCACACTAGAGAAAAACATTGCATGATTAATAAAATCAAGTTCACATGAAGAGATTCATGATTAATATTCAGTTGTAATATATCAATAACTTTAAAAAGAGAGTAGGATTTCATTTAATATTTATTATTAATTTAATTATACGAAGTGTCTTTGAATTCAATGCCAAAAATGGTACAGTAGCTTTAGCACATGAAGACAAATGGAAAATGCCTAATAAACATATATCCGAATCTGAACGGTATCAGAATTACAGACTGAAGTTGCTTTCGTAAGAAAACATAAATTGAAGTAAATGTTTAATGTTCTTTATTCTGTCCTGGGCGAATGCTTAGACAATTAACACAAAGTCAGAGCTCAGTATGACGAAAAGTTTCTAAATAGACGTTTACCAAATCGTAGAACATTAGCTGTAGCTTAAAGAATTCAAGAAATAGGAGATTCATAGCTTAAAAGCTTAAAATGACAATAATAGGAGGGTATAGGATATTAGGTATTATGATTAGAAGTTAGAAGATAATAGATTAAATTGCATCACAACCTGCTGATGGCAATATATTAGGAATGTTCATTTAGAAGAACTATTTTGAATACCATTAGACAAAATCCTACTATTAGTATAAGATTTATACTGCGTATTTCTAAAGATGTAATTCATAGAATTTTTTAGAAGAACCTACTATCACTGTCAGTCCGTTCAAGAACTTCATAAAGCAGATCAAGAGACTTTAGTACAATTTTGTAATTGATTACTGTGAGAAAATAATGCTGATTTTACATTTCTTGAAAGAGTGCTATTTAATGATGAATCTCAGTTTCTCGAAGCGGAGTTTTCAACTTCCATAACAATCATTATTAGCCATTGAAAAACTCGCATGTTTGCCGAAGGTCACACATGCAGCAGCAATTCACTAGGTCTGTTTTTTTTAGCTAAACTGTCTCAACTGGTATAGACTGATACAATAAGTTAGAGTGAAACAAAATATATTTGTCTCATTCTAACTTATTGCACCAATGTGCACCAGTTGAGACAGTTCAGCTAAGAAGAACAGACCTACTGTCAGTGTGTGGGCTGGAATCCTTGCTGATCATCTAATTGGATTTTTCAGACTGCTTCGTCGTTTGACGGCAGATGCTTACTTTCACTTTCTGAGCAATGACCTATCAGTGTTATTAGAAGATGTAGATCTCCAAACTCGAAGGAACATGCCGTTCCTGTACGACGAGATATCATTTTACACTTCCTGTGCGAACGTTTCTCTATGATTGCTATCTTAATCGGATCAGAAGAGGCAAAGATGCCTTTGTTATATAGCCAGGGAGAAGTCTCTCGACTTTACACTACTAGATTCTTTCCTTTAGAGACAAATAAAAAATCTAGTCTATCAGAGTGAGATCTACGATACGAGCCACTTTACCAGCCATGGCACCGAGTTCACAGACATTATATATTTATTATATAAATTTAATAATATTTCAATTATTCTCATTTTAGGATCTTATTTTTGCTTTGATAATCCTGGAGCATTGCAGGACAATTTTAAAACTGACTTACATATGTCGACTAGCAAATTTGTTTTGCTGTATTCTATTTATTCCTGGCCAAATGTGATCCTCTGTTTTATCGGTGGATTTTTATTGGACAGTGTGTTTGGAATTCGGCTAGGTACTGTTATATATATGGGACTCACACTGATTGGCCAAGTGGTTTTCGCATCCGGTGCTATTTTCGATTCCTTTTGGCTGATGATGTTTGGTCGATTCATCTTTGGGTACGTTTCCAGAGTATATTCTTTGACCGAGCATTTAATTTCTACAGAGTTACGTCTACTTGTAGACAACATAAACCATGCATAAGATATCATTTATATAAACGAAAAATAATTTATAGATGTCGTTTAACACTAAATGGCCCGGGAATAACAAATTGAATTCTTTGGATTCTCGAAAGAGGAATTGTTTTGACTCGATTCTAATATTTCAAAACTCTCTCAATGCCTCATTGCTCGTATTAATAACGACTCTCTTTTTTTAGAACTTAAGATAAATCATAAAATAATTCATCACAGTATCTCTTTCGTTATTCCGTATTCTGTATTTCCGCACTGTTACAAGTCCTTTCAAAATCGCATTTCTATTCCAGAATCGGCGCTGAGTCATTAGCAGTCGCCCAGAACAGTTATGCTGTTCTGTGGTTCAAAGGTAAAGAACTGAACATGGTGTTCGGGCTACAGTTGAGCTTCGCACGAGTGGGATCAACTGTAAACTTCTTAGTAATGGAGCCGATATACAATTATGTATCTCAATACTACAAAGGCCCAGAATGTATCGGCGTAGTCCTCTTTCTGGCTGCTGGCACGTGTGTGATGTCGATGATATGCGCTTGCTTGTTAGGCTTGATGGACAAACGAGCTGAAAGACTACTCAGACGTGGAGAAGGAAGCGAAATGCAAGCCGTTAGTCTAACAGACGTCAAAGATTTCAAGATGATCTTCTGGTTGGTCGCAATCATCTGTATCGCTTATTACGTCGCAATATTCCCTTTTGTTGCTTTGGGCAAGTAAGTCGTTTCTAAACTAATTCATATGTTTCATACATTCCTATGCATTAGAAGAGAGAGAAAGAGAGAAGGATCAAATGCATCATTAACTTTGTTTCAGAGTATTCTTTGAGCGAAAATATGAGTACGACCCATCTGCGGCGAATACAGTGAATTCTCTCGTGTACTCTATATCGGCGATAGCATCGCCCCTTTTAGGCTATTTAGTAGATAAAACTGGAAAAAACGTGACATGGGTGTTTCTCAGTATTTGTGCTACTATAGTTGCACACGGCATGCTCGCGTTTACCTACGTGAATCCATATGTATGCATGGTTCTCATGGGATTAGCGTATTCCATGCTCGCCAGCAGTTTGTGGCCGTTGATTGCTCTCGTTACACCGGAGTATCAACTCGGCACTGCGTATGGAATGTAAGTTATTCACATGCTTCTTAACATGTTCCACGTTACGTGGGCCACCGGTGACCTGCGCTAAATTTCCCGTTCAGGTCACAATTATTATGAGATACATTGTTATTTGGCTATAAAATTTGGGATATAATACAACAATGTGCTTTAAAATTGATAAGGCACGCGTTAATAGCATTCGCGCGATGTGTCTGTTTCATCAAAACTGTCAAGATTTTAAGTCATCTCATTGATTTGCAGAGCGCAAGCTGTACAAAATTTAGGTCTCGCTATAGTTGCGATTTTAGCTGGCATAATCGTCGACAAGGGGGGATATTTAATGCTCGAGATGTTCTTCCTCGGTTGGCTCTGGGGTGAGTATTTTCTCTTGAACTTGTGGAGTTCAAACAACGCTGACCTATGCTTTTCACCGTCATCAAAATTTTTCAATTAACATATGCCTCACGCGATGGAACAGTTTCGCTGATAACCGCCGCCGCAATCTGGGTATCGGACATAGCAACGAGCGGTGGTTATCTCAACATGACTCCTGGACAGAGAGAACGATACGAAGCGATCCGCTGCACGCCCGAAAGTCTGGAGCGAGAGAAACTGTTGCCGGAATGCTCAGGGGATCTCTCGGCGGATGAGCTTATGCAACCGCAGTCTGACATCAGTATACGGAATCGGTACTTGTCACGCATTGGCGCGATGGTAAATTGATTCCATTACTATTATGTATTATTCTACATACACAATCAATCAATCCCCACACAGCACGAATGACTGTTTGCCGACTGATAGTCGACTTTTTTTAGTCAACTTAAGTTGACTTTTTAAAGTCGATGTTTAACCGTCTTTTTCTAGGATAGCTTTAACTATCGTCTGTAAGTCAACTTAGTGTCGACTATTTCATAACATTGGCTGAAAATTGACTTATAGTCGACATAAAGTCGAATTCTAAATCGAGTATTGTTTGACTAACTAACGGCCGACTATAGTCGAGTCATTTAGTCTACTAAAAGTTGACATTCTCTGACTTTAAAGTCGACTTTAGACTTTTTCTGCCAACTGACAGTCGACTAATAGTTGACTTGGTGCTGTTTGGGTCCTTTCCCGTTTGCCTTAAAACGGTTTGCAGAAAGAAAGCGATATTTTATTTTAGGTACCGCCACATGTGAAAACGCCGATTCATCGACCATTACGATGATACGTTAGATCTAGCTGCGAATTTGCGAAACAAATAGGTGTTTAAACGACAAAAATCTCTTAAATCTCGTTGAGGCATTTGCTCACTGTGTCTTCCTACTACACAGCTTGATCTGTGATAATTTCGTAATGCAATTCCATATAGAATTTCGTTTTGAACAGCTGATTAACTAGAATCATGATTAGTAGAGTTGATATTTTTTATTAATAAAAGTGTATAAGCTGTATAATATATATCAACTGTTGACATGGTAGAGTTATAGCATCTCTTTGATAATCCTGATTGATATTGGACTGTAATATTTCAAATTGATGTTGCTTTTCACAATCGCTTTGCATTTGTTTATAAATGCTGGTCGTGAATCGTCACCTATATTTGATTGAAAAAAATCAAATGTTGCAAGGGACTACTTGTTAATGTGTAAAATGTAAGTAATGTGTGATAGATGTCGATGTAATCTTGTAATAAATGAATGTTCGGTCTAATGGTTCCTTTTGTTCTACCATTTTAACAAAATAACAAATCCTTTTGTTCATCTTTTGCTATTTTCCGTTCCTTTAAACACAAATTTCTTACAGTCATTTCGCGATGAAAAAGAAAAAGGTTGATGAAATAAATTCGGGGATATCGAGACGTAAATATATTTTTATCGTGGATTAAACATGACACGATAAAAGATTTATCACTATTATTAGCGTTATACTACTATTATATTGCTCAATATCTTTAATTTTTAGCACTATTAATCAGAGGACAAATAATTCGGCGATCACATACCTGTTTCTTTTGCAGCGTTCGAAATAGACTAGTCCAAAGTAGATTCCCATACGAGATTCAGCAAACACAACGTTACATGTAACATATATGTTAATTATAATTTCCTACTCAACAATGTAACTGTTTATGTAACACATGTTATATAATAGTTACATTATTGAAAAAAAATAGGAAATTATAACTAACATGTACTGCGTTACATGTAACGTTATGTTTGCTAGGGAGTTAAAATTAAGAATTTTTATGAAAGTTTTTTATATATATTAAGATCAATTTTGAAAGATTTAGCAAATTATAACTTCATAAAACATATTTGTCCTTATTCTAAAGCTCTTTTATCGATAAAAGTGTCTCTAAATAAAGTCAAATTCAGAAAGCTTATAGAGAATAAGTGCCGCTGGTTATAAATATAAATTACTATTGTTAGTTTACGAAATTATCCGAGACGTTTGTAGAGTCTAATGGATCATATCCATAGTTGATATATTGGCTAGATATTATCTCTAGATGATATATCTCTATTGGAAAATAACTCCAATTATCTGAAGTTATAATATCCTAAATATGATATAAAACATTTTCATATTGAATCTGAAAGAAATAACGTTCGTTGAAAAGAAAGAAATATGGACAATAAATTGAGTAACGAATCATAGTCGATTAATTAAACTTGTCCAAATTTTCCCGATTAGTCAATTTGCTAATATTTCTTGTTCCGAAGTTGAATATTTTCAGACTTTGCTGTAGTTGCCTTTCAGCATCGTAAACCAATGATGTACAATGCTTGTTTTCATGCTGGATTGCTTCCTGGATGGAAATACTCTGTTTTGATTGGTGCATTTCCATCCATCTTCAGAAATGTACCAATCAGAACAGAGTATTTCCATCCAGCAAGCAAATATATATATATATAAATAAAAAATCACAGTCGTGATTTGAGCGCAACTGCCACCGCAACACTGAGCGGCTGTGATATAGGTAAGGTTCTTTGTAGTTGCACTGCTGAACTAGTATAATAAGTTAGAGTGAGAAAACGTATATTTGTCTCACTTCAATATATTGCACCAGTTCAGCAGTGCAGCTATAGGTGCGTTCAGCGAACTCAACAGTTGCAAAACAGTTCGTCAATGGGTGCGTTCAGGAGATACAGCGGTTACACAACGGTTGAGTAATTAATCAACGTAATTGGTCTAAAGTTAGGGATCTAACAGTAAGGACCAATAATCACTGACCGCTCACTGATCAGCTATGTTTTCTGAACGCAGCCAATGTAATTGGTCTTGATTTAGGGATCTAACAGAACCAATAATCGTTGATTGTTCACTGAGCGCTTTTTCCGCTGAACGCGCCCTATAAAGAACAGGCCTATATTTACGCGAAGCCACTCTCTGGACAGAAAAATGGCTCTCAAAATGTGCTCCTTCAACAATCTTCCGCTAGTTGGCAGCACAGCAGATTTCGATAACGTCATGAGTGTAAGTGTGAAAGAGAGAAAGAGAGAATGTGTATGTGTGTTATCTAGCAATTAGTTTATGCTACAAATTGTAATGAAAATTAAAAAAAATGCTAAGAATATTTATATAACTTTCTTGTATTAATTATATCAGTAAAGAAGACGTTATATCAATAAATAAAACAAATAACGGGGATATTGGTGGGACCTTTTCTAAATATAGTAATTAATAAATTGTTCTTTTTTTTATATTCATACTTTTTTGCAATAACTGACATATACATTTTATCTCAATTTGCATTGAATTGGACACATTCTAAATAAGAATAGAAAAAATATATATTTTAAATATAAATACAGATTGAAAATAAATAATCGTATTAGAATAAAAAAACAAAATTATTTTATCAATCTACTGCAAGATTATGTCTAATATAGCTCTTGTACAAAAACAGATGATATCCTAAAAAACTTATATATATATACAGGGTGTTCAAAAAGTCCCGGACCGGTGAAATATCTCGAAAACTAAGCATTTTAGAAAAAAATGTTTCAGATAAAAGTTGTGGCGTTTAAAAAGATGTATTTACTGATCACATCAGTTTGACCTTGGGTTGCGTAGCGAAGGTCAGGTCAAGGTCA